TTGGATATACTACACCCGGGTTCAGCGTCATACGATATGGGTTCGCCTGGGCCGCAAGCAAATATGCTCAGCGTACGCAGAACGCTTGCTCCTCGAAAACGATAACACACTATCGCGACTTTATGTCGTGGGGAATATTATGGGGAATCGCCGTCCTCATAATCCTGTCACCGTGCAAGGTCTGAATGAGTTCTATGTTGTCGCTGCGCTTCATAACTGATGATTCTCGGGAATAGGTAGTTGAGAGTCATCTATGCAGATTAGATCTGGTTACGATCACCATCCCGCGACAGCCGGTACTCGCAAGCTGATGATTCACAACAAAGATTTGTGTGTTTGGATAAACGGCGGGTAGTTATTTGTGTAAGCCTCATAGACTTGGCGGAAATTTGGTTTTTTGTCCTAGTATGGCCATGCAAAGTTACTGAGACGTGATCGGTAATTAAATGGTTCTTCAACGTATTAGGAGCGTGCAAATCAGTGTGGAAACTGTTGGGAACTGTCCTTTGGCCACGTTGGTTATAGCGTACTAGTACTAGTATTAACTTACGCCATTATGAACCCCGGTTTGTCAACGGCACAGCCTCTCGTTTCCAGTACTGGGAAACCTCATTTTTTTCTGGAAATTCGGGTCGCCAGTGTGGTGGCGCGGACCTTTTAAGATGACTGTGCCTAGAGCGTGCTTTCAGCCGTGTGGCCACCGGGCAAGTTGATCGGTCGGAGCATTCCTTTCTTTCATCATCTTTCTAGGGATTCGTGATTCAAGCCATGGCCACGGCTCAACACGATCCTAACAAGCGTGACACTTCTTGCCCGTGTCCAAATGTTATATAAACTCTCGCTCTCCTGCCACACTTGAGCCTTCATCTTACCCCCATCCCCACCCATGACCTGCCCCGGTGAGCACCCACTCGCAGACTCCTCTATTACGAGTCTGACCTTCCCCGATGGATCTATCTATCGTTCCTCAGCCGAGAAGACCTACAGCGTCTGTCAATCCCCGTCGCAACCCCAAATTAGAGTGACGCGTGCTGTTGAGGTGCAGACCGACTGCCACGCATCCTGGGCGTCTGGCTTGCCGATTCCCGAGGTAATCCCACTATCTCGTTCGGGACCGAGGGGAATCTCACCCTGCTCTCATATGTAGTCCACCGGGTATCTCCCCGACAGACCCGACGTTGAATCAGGAAATCCGTCCCCACCCCATCATCACTCGGGAATCCCGGAAAACTGCGTCAGGACTGATTCCCCGCCACTTTCGTCAGTTAATTTTTCGAGCGTCAACGGCGCTCTTTCACCGTCGTATAACTGGCAACAGCAGTCCGTGAATACGATCACATGCACTCCTGTCGCCCCCCCTCATCCACTCTCTCATCCTGATCGATTTGCCTCCTGTTCCATCCAACCCACCACCTTTCGTCCGAGTCGGACAGTGATATCCAGGATGAATGTGGATGGCGATGTGAACCTGTGTCCTGATTGTTATGCCCACTTCCCCACGGTGTGGACCATGGAGCAGGTCGGGTGTAAGTACTGTGGTGTCATGATCCATAGTTCCATGGTGGTGCAGCCAGGAACCTCCCCTGCACCATTCCTACCCCCACCTCCACCTCCACCAATGCCTCTGGATCAGCCACGATCCCCCGGTATCTGTCCTTTGCAGAATCCCTTTCATAACTCTTTCAGGAAGGGAAAATCACCCCAGCCACGTGGCCGGCGCCAGGCCAAAACTCAGCCCCCTCCAGTACAAGAGTCCCGATGCTGTCCTTTGACTGATTCTGGGAACATCACCCTCCCGTGTAACCACAGCAATTGCTCCCCCCCTCCAAACGTTGGGCTCCTGTCGCGACAGCCCACAGAAAACAGCAAATGGGAACGGGCTCGCCAAGACGCCGTTGCTTCTTTTCGTTACGAGAACTGTGGTTGTAAGTCTACCCATCTTGTGTCATCTCGTTCCTCGTGATTCACTGACAAATGCCGATCTTTAGTTTACAAACTTCCGATGGAAATCATCTGGATGATCATAGACCTCTATCCGCGGCTCGATTATTCCTATATGCGATCTATACGTGCCGAACCATCTATATACAACGACAGATTCGAAGTCCTGCGGAACTTGATCAGCGTGTCGAGAAGTTTCAGGAAGACGTTACACAACATCTACTGGGAGACTTTCGAGATCGCTCTCACTTACCCGAGGAGGCGTTTGCCCGAACCTGGTGAGCTCGAGCCGGGCGCGGAATGCCCCCGGTTTGTGTCGAGGACGTCCGAACTCCAGGGTCTGAGAAAGACGTTTTGGTTCCTACCAGACATCGCGTCCTGTATTAGGTACGATCCATCGGGTTTTGTGGGGCTTTTTGCACTCATTTGTGATGAACTGTGTGTGTTTAGGACTTTGACGTTCAGGGTAGACAGGGATCCCGATCTAATGCAACTGTTCGTTGATTGCCTCCTTGCCCTACCCAACCTCCACACGTTGGAGATCGCGCCAACGAGCCTCCCTCTTGTCACTCTATTCGCCAATGCTTTCAAGCACCGACCTCAATATCGGAGTGTCCGCAAGCTCATCGCTCCCGCCGGTGCTCATCCGGTACTCCAGTCCCTTCCGAACCTTGAGGAGCTCGTGTGCACTAGGGGAGAGAAACCTCATATCCTCCTCTCGAAGGTCTTCCAGGCCTACGATAGCGTGAACACGAAAACCTCGTTCAACTGTTTCGAACTTATCGGGGCCAACTGGACCGATATGGTCGGGAAAGGTGGGTTTTAAAAATTGCAGCACATTCCCCAGTTGCTTACTGTTGATTCCTAGAGCTGATTCGCTGCTTCCCGAAAATTCAGAAAGTAGCAATGAGAAAGGTAAGCCAGAGCCACAAATTCCGATGGGATCTTATAGCTCACCAACGTCGTGCCTTAGCCCTCGGTAGACCACTTGGAAAAATTGACATCGTTGACGGAAATCTCGGAACTCGACCTCTGGATCACGGATAGTGCTGATGCGGCACTCATCAAACGTTTGAAGGCGAAAGCGGTAGAGATCCTCCGCCAGAGCAAGCCCCGGGTAGTTTGCGAATGCGACGATAAGATGGACGTGGACTATGAGCCTCCTGTAAAAGAGGAACCGGGAACGAATGTCAAGCGGGAACCAGGGATCAAACTCGAAAACGAGGAGGTGATGCCCGTGGGGTGTACGTGTAACCCCCCTAAACGAATCCTCCACTTGAAGCATCTGGTTCGAAGGCACGGGCAATGGGGAACACCCTTCTGGGGGAGTGAGCGGATTGAGAAAATCGAAGTATCCCCTTTTGAGGATTAGGACCGCGGACACAGGTTTTTTTGGACTTTTTTGTATCTCTGGATCCCCTCCAGGTTAAATTATCCCGGAGTCAAATATCAGTGATGACCTCGATGGTCGCAGGGTCGTTGTAGTATAGCGAGAAACGATATGTATTCCCAGTATGTAGCATGCCTGTCGTCGAGCGGTGCTCGAATCGTGTCGGTATTATGACAATACGAATGTGTCCCCACCTACAATTCAACATGGGCGGTGGGCGTGGTCGATCGTGTTTGGGGTTTATTGTTTTCCGGGCGGGGAAGGACGAGAATTCCATCAGACCGTGGGGCTGCAGGAATGCAGGACGCCATGGGCACAGCACGGGGAGACCGTGGTGGAATCCGTGGAATCGGATCAGGGAGCAAGAAATGTAAATCAGCAATATGTTATTTCATTATACGATACCTAGTACAAAAAATTACATCCCCGATCGCCGACCACGGTTGGAAAACTTCGAGGCCGTTGGCTGTGCGCAGGGCAGGCTCCGCGACCAAGGGCAACATAACACGGGTCTCCTTCTGATCACCACGGCTGCGTTGGCGAATGAAACCTTTGACAAGGACGGATTGGGGTGTCCTCGTGAGGATCTCGGGGGAGTGAACGCGTAGATCCGGTTTGGTATTGGATAGCGATTGTAGCTCGGTCTGCCATAGCGAGTCCGTAGTCTCCTGTCGCGAGTAGAACGCTTTCGTGTATTCGGCCATGCCGCCCCTGGTTTTGCCACACCCTTGCAATTAGCGAGAGAGAGAAAGAAGATTTTGAATTATGAGCGGGGAACGAGATCTTACCTGACGAACTTCCGAGCTCTTCTAGATCCCTTCTCGGGACTGACCTCTAGCCCTCTGACAGGCTCGGGTCCGACGAGTCCTTTGTAGCCAAGCCGATCCATGAACAACGTCGTGACCTCCAGGCTCCCGGCCTCGGTGCTGGGATCCATCACGGTCGCGATTCGCGTGCTCGATATCGTCGTCCTCTCCTTCTGGCGTGGGGGATTCGCCGCAGCGGCTTCGAGGAATTGAGGAGGGGGAGGTCTGACAGGCGTCATTGGTCGTTTCTTGGGGGTTTCTAGCGTGAACGCGGGGGTCGTCTTCAGCCCACCGCTCGAGCCGGGTTTCTTGTTAGACAGTTGGTTGAACGCGAAGGCATTTTTGACTGGTGTGACGACGGAGGTTGAGAGCGGTTTCTTGGGGGTGGTGACTGGGAGAGTAACTTTGCTTGTCGTTGGAATTTTCTTGGCAAGCGGAATTCGTGAGGCTGAATCTATCCTCCTTTTGGATGGAGATGGAGCGACGGAGGCGTCGGGTGGCAAGAATCGTGGAGGTGCAGAAAAGCGTGCTTGGATAAGGGGTTTCTTGGGCGTCACCGCCTGTGGCTTGAACATCTGCAAAGGAAACGCATTCTCGAAGACAGCAGGCCGGAGTTGGGGTCGCCTGGGCGTCGCGGAGGTGAATCCATCAGGTTCAAACAGTCGAGGTCGTTTAGATGGAGGCTAAGGAATCAAAATAAGTTTTGACCCCCGATCTCATTGACAGATCATTACCTCGTCAAGTGGCATTTAAGCCCAGAAGCCGGAACAAAGGGTATCGGTTGGTGAGGCAGCACAGAAAGGATGGGTGCAACGGGCCAAGACGCGGGGACGAGAACGAGTCAGCTAAAGTGGCAAAAAAGAAGCCCACGGCGAGGGTCGAACTCGCAGCCTTCAGATCTCAGATCGTAAAAGTCTGACGCTCTAGCCAATTGAGCTACGCGGGCTTATCTTTACTTCTAAAAATGTTTGGCTAAGTTCTGAAAACTTTTTTTCTACTCTAGCACAAAAACTCCTCCCAACGACATCGAAAATTCAGTTGATGGCATAATGGTCCATAACCCCAGCTATAACTCAAAACCTTCCAAACAGGTCCCGAAAAATTGAAAGTCCTATCAACAATCTCCAGGAACTCTAGAATTTTATCCCTGAACAGTGAATCTCGGACGTTTCATCCTAGGCTGTAATCCGGCCTCGGACTCAGAGCAGAGCAGAGCAGGGAGGGGGATGCAGATGGGGATGGCTGTGGGGGGAACTAGATTACTTGCTCAATTGAGCGTCCAAACGAACGGCAGCGCAAGTCTGCGGTCCTCGTAGCCAACACAAACGCTTCGCAAGCACCTGACTTCGTTCCTTTCTCCTCCACAACTCCGTTATTACATTCACAAACGCATGGCATCTTCATCCTCGAGGGTGTGACGATGGAGGTCCGAGCACCACGACCTTCTGTGCGTCTCCTAGGTGTGCTATACTGGGGTCAACTGACCGGTACAAAACTTGCTATAAACACGGGAACTCGTGCGAGCTTTTTTTGACAATCGTGGAGGCGGCTTGTTCGCTCTGGCTTCGATGCTCATTCGATGGGTAGTCCACTTGACGGAGGTTGGGTAAGTTCATCATCTTTCCCTTGGATCCTTCGCCGCACTGACATAACGTTTAGCCACGAATTAATTAGATCTCCCGGCGATTTTTCCTTGAACGATGATCCAGGATTCTGGTCTTTTCGTCAGAGAATATTACGCGACCTCGCGCGTCAACAGTCCAGTGTTGGGGAGAACTTGGCGGTATCACTGCAAGTGAGAATTGTGATGTATGACGGCTGGGATAGGGGAGGGTTTCAACTCTGAATGGAGAAACGTGGGTGAGTTGCCGCTACAGATCGAGCAGCGAGTCCCGAGAACACACGATGCCTGCTCGCCTTGGGAGCGAAGGCCGGCACGCTGGGGGGCTCCGAGATCTCTCTATGTCATGAATTCAGGTAGGTGTTGCACGTAAGCCAAGATAGAGCGCGGACAACGGACTAGTCCAATTGTAAGTTTTGGGGTGGATGCGCCAAAAGTCGTGCTTGTGGATGAGGACGCGAGGAAGAGCCACGGTCTCCTCATTCGAATCGGGTTGCAGTTGGTGGTCGAAGTCGACGATAAAAGCCGATGTCACAGCAGAGAATAAACCAGCTTGAGAGTATCGTCAACCGGACTCTCGTCGAATCGGGAGAAGTACTCACAAAGATGAAAGTCGTATTCAAGCCTTCCTCGTGCTTTCTCATGAAGACTTTGTCATACTCCTCTGCCACCTTGTAGTATTTATCGTAGAATCTAACGAGTAACTCTGCCTCTTGGGACGAACTGAAGCTTGCCATACGTTCACCGACGTTGAGGCATTGCAACGGATCAGCGACACGTCGCAATGAGCGAGGGCCCGAACGTTCCCCCGTTGTCGATGGTTTCCCTTCGTGTGGTGCTTGGGTCTTATCTCAGCATCTTCATGTCTACAGATAGGGCGTCAAATGATGTGGTCTTGACGTGATGGGGGATGGGATACGTACTCTTCAATACGTTCTCCGAGGGCGTTGACATACGGCTTCGATATGGTGCGACGGTTTCTATAGCCAAAAAGGATGAGGGACGGACTAGTCGAACAATCGAACAATCAGGACGACATACCTGTACCTTCGCACGCTGCCTCTAGATGTCCGTTTTCCAAATACATGTCCCACTTCCTCAAATGAGCCTCCAAGGCTATGGACTCACATTGAACGTGTGCAACCTGCCAGTTGTCAATGACCTCACCTATCAGCCGCGATATCCGGTGACGCTGTGATGCTGTGAGACAGTGATCCGAGCATTCAACCCAGAGGCGTCACCCCCCTAGGTATCGTCCCCTTCCGAATCGCGCCCTCCTCGCCTCTGAATTCGAGGCTGGATTCCAGCCTAATTCAACCCAAGTAGAGTACAGTCGAGGCGGGAAGCAGGCGTTGTAATTAACATGAGGGTCGTCGCGATCTGCTAGCGGAATTCTGGAAACGCCCAGTTACGTCAGTCTTGTCCCACCGATGTGCCGTCTGTTGATCTGTTCGTAGCGTGGCGAGATGACTTGCCTAAGCTCCCAGTAGCACCTCACTTCAGGGATCGCTGCTGCTTGTGGGCACGAGGTTCATAACCATTCTATCGGTGGATGCATTTTGCCGGAAGTCCATCCGCGCAGTTGCAACTGGCTTCCGATCTTCCCATACTGAAGGTACGTTTCGCGCATTATCTCCCTTGTTCATGCGGTGCCTTGCTCAAATGGCCACCGAAGCGCTCATTACTTCATTGCGTGACGGTTCAGGCCTGTTCTCGCCTCGTAGACGCCAAACCCCTTTCTAGTGGCAACCAACGCGAGTGTCGACGATGGCTCCAACGTCCCAGAGAAAAAGAGGGCGCGAGGATGGTCGCTCAACGCTGGACTCGGACATTCAAGATCCCAATCATGCCATGGCTACCTGCGGTATCTCTACGGCTCAAGGAGCCTTCGGGTCTGCCGGTGCTCTCTTGACAACGATTAGGGTACGACCCCTCCTAACTAGTAGCGATGAGCTTTGATCCTACACTTATGCAGGACTCGATGGCCGACGAAGAGGATTGCGTGGATCTTGGGCGAACTTGCGCCGATGTGTGTAAAGCCCTCGACCGGGGGTTGGGAGGGAAACGACCGGAGAAACTCAGCCAGGCAATGATTGAGGCAATCGAACAGTTGACTACGTAAGTTGGATCAAGGGCATGAAACATTCGCATTTCACTTATGAGGGTCCTATTCTCAGAACTTTGGCTACGATTCGGGAGGAGATTGTCAAGAGGAGTAAACGGAACGTGGGCTCTCGACTCTTCCGCAGCAAGGGCGGCGAGGATGCAATTTCTGGTTGGAAGCAAGACCTCTCCAGGATCCTTCAAGTCTTTCACGTGCGTCCAGTCAACCCCACTTGACGATCACTAAAAGTTTCCCCTTTAGATGGAGCTGTCGATGAATAACCACACGATCCTTGTGGATCTTCACAGTCGCATTTTGGTTGGTCAAGAAACCGCTGGCAGCGGAAATCGATCTGTAAGCATCCAGTTCCATGGGTAGATTACCTAATACTGATTGACCCCTAGACTCGAGCGAGGTTAGTGGTTGCAGGCACCGGGAATCCAGGGTCTTACGATGGCATGTTTCACAGTGTTCCTGTTGGAGAATTCCCTCCCCCTCCGCCAAGGGCCTGCTTTGGACGCGGGGGGCTGATTGATGAGGTCGTCGGATTTGCCCAAATCCTTGAACCTATCGCTCTGATCGGTGCAGGTGGTGTCGGGAAAACATCAATTGCCCTCACCGTCCTCCATGACGATCGGGTGAAGAAACGGTTTGGCGGTAACCGTCGATTCATCCGCTGTGATCAGTTCCCTGCTTGGCGGTCAGGCCCTCATTTCCTCGCCCGTCTCTCGAAGGTCATCGGCGCGGGGATCGAAAACCCCGAGGATATGGCTTCACTGCGGCCAACTCTCTCCTCCCAGCAGATGATAATTGTTCTCGACAACGCCGAGTCTATCCTTGACCCACAAGGGCCAAATCATGAAGAGATCTACGCAATGGTGGATGAACTATGTCGGTTCGAAACTATCTGCCTCTGTATTACTTCCCGTATCACGACGGTTCCCCGGCACTGCAAACGTCCCCAAATCCCAACGCTGCCGATAGAGGCCGCATGCGATATATTTTACGGCATCTGTGGCGACGGCAGGCGATCTAGAATCATCGACAACCTCCTCCAGCGTCTGGACTTTCACGCCCTTTCGATCACACTACTCGCTACGACCGCATCCGACAATATGTGGGACTACGATCGAGTGGCCGATGACGGGCGCACACCGCGCACAGGTGCTTCGGACGGATCAAAACGAGAGCCTGGCAGCAACGATCGAATTGTCGCTCACTTCCCCTACCTTCCGTAAACTGGGACCCAACGCCCGTGACCTCCTTGGAGTGGTTGCTTTTTTCCCACACGGTGTAGATGGGAAAACCTGGACCGGTTGTTCCCCACTATCCCCGACAGAAGGAACATCTTCGACAAGTTCTGCATTCTTTCTTTGACGTACCGCAGCAATGGATTCATCACGATGCTGGCACCACTTCGTGATTACCTCCGCCCCCGAGACCCAATATCATCTCCATTCTTCTGCTCGACGAAGGATCACTACTTCAATCGGTTGCCAATTAATTTTGATCCTGATGAACCTGGGTTCGAAGAAGCGCGGTGGATCAAGTCGGAGGACGTGAATATTGAGCACCTACTCGATGTTCTCACGTCGATTTACGCGGACACGCACCCCGATGCTTGGGATGCTTGTGTTCACTTCATGCGTCACCTCTATTGGCATAAGCCTCGGCAAACTGTGCTGAAGTCAAAGATCAAAAGCCTTCCCGATAGTCATCCCTCCAAGGCCAGGTGCTTGTTCCAGGTCTCTCGGTTGTTCGAATCGGTTGGAAACCGCGCAGAACAAAAAAGACTGCTCGCTCAAGAGAAGGTCATTCATCATTTCATGACGGCCCTAAGAATCGCATCCGCTTTCGATTGGCACGACGAGCTATTTTCGATTCACGAGGCCATTGCGAGGCAGTTCCGCGATGAAGGCATTGAAGCTCGACGATGCGAATGCGCACATCGAACGAGCCAAATCGCACACGGCTGACGATGCATATCTACTGGGTCGTGGGATGGAAACGCAGGCTAGGATTTGGTATTGTCAATGTAGGCTGGAAGACGCGAGGTCCGAGATTTTGGGCGCACTCGAAATCCATGAGAGGCTTGGGGGAGCGAAGCGGGTAGAGAGCTGCCGGACGGTTCTTCGTGCGATTGAAGAAGCCATGGGGGGCCACACCTCGAGCGAGCCGGATCCCAATGGTGAGATTTTTGGCAACGATTATGCTTCCCGTC